AGCACGAATCACAGCAAACTGTTTAAATAATATCGGCAAATCGGCACTGTTGAGGCAACCCACTAGACAATTGAAGATTGTTGGTTCGGAAATGTTAGTGGCGTTAATCTCCAGTTTAAATCCACGTGTCTTCATGCGTTGTTTCATTGTCAGTTCGTCACGTTGGACAGCCTAAGCAGTTTCCTAGCAAACAATTGTTTAATTAAGTGATATTTGCCGCATCAACTGACGAGCAGTCTTGGTTGTTTTGCTAACCGAGAAAAGACAGGTCTTTAGGGGAATGTTCTGGCATAGTCTTGACGCAACTCCCATTCACGCACGCCGCGCTAGCACGCCCCACCTAATTTTTTCTTGCCTGCGTCGCGCGTGTGACGTAACTGTGACGTTAGCACCGAACCCTCGCATACAGCTCACATTTTGCCTTTCCGCTTTTCGCAAACCCGGGACCACGAATTTGTCTGCACTCTGCCGAATGATTTAGCCTGCGTCGGTAGCCGATGCTCGCCACACTCGTACACGCCGAATTTTTAAAAATGCCATCGTTTTGGACGATAATCTAAGGTAGTGATCTTCGGGTCAGTGAAGTAAGACACTAGGCCGCTACTTGGGGACGTGTTGGACGTAGTTGAAACCACCAAAACGCAGGTCTTTGGACGGCTCAATGGCCGTCCAACAAACACGGCACCTTGATCGCACGAAATCTGGCCACAACTGAGGTAGCTACAAGTGGGTGTGCTTGTGTCTTCGAGGTCGCGCCAAATTTTGAATCTGGCTTGATTCTAGTTCCGCATTTGAATAGGGATGGCAACTGATACACAGCACGTTCGATGGCACTGCATTTTACACGAATTCCAACAAGGAAAAATGCTGCTTCTTAAACAGGGGAATCCATTTGAGGTGTTCTTGGCGGCGACGTTGTGTGTCTTATGAAACGTGTAACTATTGGTACCAACGTTTTAGAAGCGGTGATTTCGATCTTAGTGACCAGTCGTGCCCCACACAGCAGCTTCGAAAGCTTGAAGATGCAGAATCGCAAGCTCTACTGGATCAAGAGTCAACGCAAACGCAACAAGAGCTTGTAGGTCAGTTAGGAGTCACCCACAGCAGCTATTTTCAAGCGTTTGCACCAATTGAGAAAATTAAAAACGTGGAAGTTTGTTTCCACACGTGTTAACTTAACACAACTTCAGTCAATGTATGGACACATGCCTTTCATTGCTTGACAGCTGGCAACAAAATAAGGACCTCTTGTGGAAAATTGTAACACACAGAGCCTACGCATTGTGATAATGCAGTTGTCGCTACTTCGGTTGCCAATGCGCAACCAATACCAACCGGCTTTCAATGTAGAGCCACAAACTGATTGGACCGTTTTCCACAGGCAGTGTTTTTTGTTGTTTGTAGATTGCAAAGCAGCTCAAGGACATTGATACTCTGAACAAGGAGAAGCAGGAGATCGAAGACAAGTTGTACAGCCAAGTCCAGCCCGAATTCGAGAACAGTGACAAGGCCCTGGCAGCGATCAAGCCACAAGCTGAGGCCGTGGTGGAACTGGGCAAGAGAACAACCAACGACGTCGACCAACTGCGGCGCGACATAGAGGCTCTGCTCCTAAAGATGAAGGAGCTGAGGGACAAAATCAGTAGGCACTTCAGATCTCCCCTCTTTCGTTTAAATTGAGTTGTGCATTCACCTGTAACGCACTACTGCAACGCACAATAATTGAATTTTGCCAACAGCACGGCAACTCAAGCGGAACTCATCGTGTTTAACCGTATCGCCTAGCCAAACACAAACGCGGGAAGTTACTGTTGTTTTGTGGACGAGGCCAGACAAGTTGCCTGGCAACCGCCTCTTACCCATCAAAATTAACCGACAGTTGGGTGAGGAGGAGATGGGTTGCTTTACTGTCAACAAATTTACACGAAACACGGTTTGATGGGCATTTTCAACACCGAATTTGTTGTTCTACCTTTTGACCGATTAGTCATGTAGCTAAATTGTGTCGTGTGCGTGGTAGGATCGAAAACAACGTTCCAAATTTTTACACCTACTTCACCGTAAACCACCAAAATCAGACACTTCTAACTACTCATCTAGGCCGATTTATCTGTGGTAATTACAGCTTCTACAATCTTATTGTTTCAGCAAATACAAGTCCAAACAACGGGTTCGACGGTGACGGAGCAGCCCGCTTCAAGGAGATACGTGAGGAGGCGGAAAGAATGGAAATCACCAAAAGGATCGACATTTTGCGCAAAGCCAATGCCTCCCGAATCGCTGAAATCGAGTACATTCGTGACTACGAGTTGAGCGAGTTTGCAGCAAACACTAAGCACCTCACTCGGCTGCTCGAATTGCTGCCTCTGTTGAATCACCAACGATGCTTCTACTCGGGCAAGAACATCGAGGGGAGCCGTCGCAGGAAGAAGTCGGTGAACGAGTCCGAGGCACTTGGAAGTGCGTCAGCCGATCTCCCAGCCCTGGATCTCCCACCGTCACCCATCTCAGTTTACTGATCACTAGTGAACATTGTTCCAATTATGACCGCAATTCTAGTCACAACTTATGCACTGATTGACGAATTTTCTCTTCATTTATGTAAATTTTTTAACAAAAAATCATCTCATTGCTGATTTGTGACTTCGTCTGCTCAAGGAACTAACTATTCCAGACTGCAAGTTCAAACGACTTGCAAGGTGGGTACATGCAGGCGGTCTCGTGGCTATGACATCCAATCCCCTCCACGCCAAAATATTTGTGCGTCTTGCACCGCCCCACACCCCAAATCACCTCGACACCGTGGTCCCGTGGAGGCACGATTTATGTTGCACACGTGAAAGTCAGTTGTTCTTTGTTCAGGACACAATGTCGGGGCGCTTTTAGCACGCTGCATTGTGTTAAAGCGGCGTTGACTGCTACTCGAGTGTATGCAATATTCCCCGCCACAGCAATCATGCTAACTCCAACCTTAACTTTCCCCCAAAAATCGTCATTCTGGTGGATTTCTTTTGGCTTAGAGAAATGGCGAGGTAGCCAAAAACGGCAATCTCAAATGCCTGCCTAGTCGACCATCCAAGGCGATGTGAAAACAAGTTGCCACGTAACCTTGTTTTGCTCGTCCAATTTCAAGGTCATGTCAAGTTGCAGGGCGACAAGATCGACAACTCCTTCTGGGCGACTAGAGCCGATTTGTCAGCTCCGAGCAAGATAGCAATTCCGAGACACGAATCATTCATTTCTGCGGTCAATATGGCTTTATCCTCGGGCAATAAAAGATTGTTTTCCGGAATAATTAAAATGTTAATTACCTCAGACTAAACTAATTATTTCTATCTGGACAGGGGGCAGAAGAAGTCGGTCGAGTTTAAATTGCGCACGCGAAAACAAACAAGGATACGCACCAATCAGATAAGCGACAATTCGTTGTATTGGAGATAGGCAAAGTACATGTGTGTATTATCTCAGAGGCACCAAATATTCTTAGGCTGAAATTTGATGTAATTTGGAGCACAATCAATCACGAAAGACATTAAGGTGAGGTGTAAACATGCATGCAATAAGTCAAAAATAAGATGCATTTTTAAATCACCTTCGGTTGATGCACAACTTCAGTGTAAAAGCCTCGTAGCAGCATTTCGAAAGGTATGCTCAAGTAGTAACAAGACGTGAAGTCGGGAATCATCCAAGAGTATCACCGACGATCTAGCATTTCCTAAACGTGTTCAACTTTACCCTAATCTCATGATACAACTAACAAACTGTGTCAGTTTTATTGCTGCAAAAAGCAAATGATGTAGAAGAGGCGTGTGTCATTAACTTGTAAAACTGATGTTTTTTTCCACAAACAAACATGTGAATGAGTCACGCAGAAAAGTTGAGAGGAAGATGGCGACCAACAAAAACCAGCAGTCAATTAGTGAACTAGATGCAGACATGGGGTGGTGTGAGCAGAAGTAAGGAAATCGATTTGTTAGTGTCGCGTCTGTCCTGCCAACACCCCCTCCCCATCCTCAGAGCTGGTCGATTTTGGGTTCTGGCAATGCCTCAGTGCTCGTCAACAACCCATTTCACCATCCGTAAGCGTTGTTTCCAACAGCCACCTCCAATATACCAATAGGCAAACCCGTCAGGCTACGAGTTGTCCCTCTCATCGATCTCCAATTTCCAAATTGTCCTGAGGATTATGCGTGTGTGTTTTCTACCAATGTCGACAGATTTCGACGCCTGTGTTGCTCGCACCAAACAAGGTATCTCTTCCAGCAAAAAGTCGACTAGCAGTATTTCGAAAGACATGCTGAAGTAAGTAGAATAAATAAAGGTAGGAATCACGTCATTGCAGAAAACATTTAATCATGTCAACCCTCGTAAGTGCATTTCTGAAAGGCGGTAAATGCGAGATGCTTTCCTACCCATTTCCTTGCACAAAACCCATTACCAAGAGAATGCAATGCTTCGCATCATTAGCTAGTCCTTGTGTCGAATCAAACGAACCCCCACAGAGCAAGTAACGCCCAAGTTATTTGCCTGAAAAGCTCTCTACAAGGCATTTTCCTTGCTTACTCGCTTGCGCGCCTTTCGTCACAGTGCACTTGCGTTAGGCATGAGGCTCTGGGAAAACAACGCTTGCCTCTGCGTGTACTTTTTGACACTGGCGTAAACTGTTTTGACGTCCCTGAAGGTGCTTGAAAAGTACAAAGTGCTTCGCGTTTTTCAAACCCCGAAGGCAGTGCAGCATTCTACCCAGCTTCATGCGAAGAGGCATTTCGATGAAGCGACTGGAGAGTGTGGTGACAGCAGAGATTCTCAGCGTTCGCTGCCAATTCACGTCCTACACTTCACACTTTAATACGGCCCAAACCCTTCACCCCGCAATGTCTCATGAGCTGACGTTCTGGAGCCCGACGATTGTGGTGGTCGTGACTGCTTCGACAATTTCTTCCAGAACAGGGAACACAGAACAAAACCTGAGCATTCTTCATGCGATTTTAGCTAAGCTGAGAGGTGCTACTCAGCTCGGTATGGTGGCTGCATAATGCTAGCCGCGTGTAGAAAGCGTCACTGCGTTTGTGCCAACTACCGCACAAGACCTTGACAAGCACTGCTACACCACTGGTTCGTTTTTTTCGGCGATCACAACTGACAAGAATGGGTACCTGACACCAGACACGCACAATTGGCAGGCGGCAAAACAACAGCGGGTAACCGGTGGGACTAGGGTCTGGTATTTGTGCAAATCGGTTTCGATCAAATTTCAAGTTGATTAAAATTTGCCAATTTTGGTAAGTCGAATGCGATTTCACTCAGACGGTCAGCTGCTCTGAAAGGACAAGTGACTTCACAACAAGCCCAAAAAGGGTGTGTGTATGTTCTAGCGTTGAAAGCGACATGAATGCGATGTTTAACCTATGCTGATGCACCAAAGGCGACAACCTCGTGGTTTCCTTGCCTTTCCAGTCTGACACACCTCGTTCTCGAAGCCCGCTACAATTTGGAGAAGGAGTGTGTACGTGCGTAGTTGGCAATAATTTCAGCATCGAAAATCGGGCACAAAGTAGTACCTCTTTTTTTGTGGCCACTGATTTCACAAAGCACTACTTCGACAAGCTCTTTTCAACAAATTCGTTGCTGTTTAGTGTTAACGGGAGGCAACCTCGACACATCCCATGTGACCTTGACATTTGGACACGACGACTTCCCGCCAGTGGTCGCTGTGTCGCCATGGCAACGACGCTCAGCCGATTCCAGATATTGCCAGTCGTGGTGTTCGCTTGTGTTGCTCAAATATCTGACCACGCAGCCGGAATTGTCTCTGTTGTGGACGTGACCTGACCTCGAGTAGAGCACTAGAGGCTAACGATTCC